GCAGAGAGTGGGCAACACCAGAGCAGTCCCAGCAGAGGAGGCCACCAAGCAGAGCCCCCAGGAGGGGCCCAATGGTGGCTTGGGAGAGGCAGGGCGTGAGCCGAGGTGTCTAAATGCTCCAGTGACCATGGTGTGTGGCCCACAGCACTGCACTCAGAGATAGTAATTTTAGTTCAATAAATACAGGCATCTCCTGAAAGAGTCCAATGCATCCGAAGAGCATCCTGACAGTGGTGAAAGACACATCCTTTAAGCATGCAGATTTTTGTCCCAGCACTATTTTTACTCACTTCAGCTCTTTTGATCAAAACAAATCTGCTCACCAGATGTACCATATCCCGCCTCACCGGAGGAACACCCTTGCAGGCTGGGGAGCCTGGAGACAGAGGGAAAAGCTGACAGCCTGGACCAGGACAGACTTGCACAATGAGACACCCAGCCACCCCTCATCTGAATTAAAAAACCAAGGAAAGCAATGAAGTCTAAGTAGGGCGACAATTAGAATATTTAAAATAGCTCTAGGGAAATACTCTACCACAAGGGATTCTCCCCTCAGACGGCAAGAGCTGTAGAGGCGACTCAGTCGTGGCACACTGCTAAGTGACCACAAGGAGAGATCTGGCAGCAAGGTAAACACAGCCCTGCTTCTCCACATAACATGCATTTCACAACCTGCAGTTTCCACTTTTTGGTTTGGTTTTTAGTCCTTTCCAGAGTAGCTGCTGCTTTAGACACTACACAGGCCATTCCACTGAGGACCCCGGGGAGAGCTGCCACGCTTGCCCAGCGTGGGCTCTGTGACCTGCCTCCAGCAGCACATCCTCAGGATTCAACACGCAGGCCCATGCTGGCCACTGTGGGGATCAGAGTAGGGCTTCCACCTGGAAGGGCCGAGCCAGCACTTCTCTCATTTCTCCAATCCACAGCACACTGGAACTTTGATAAAATATAATAAAATTAACTGCCAGAAACATGAAAAAAAAAAAAGACATACAAAACTCAAGTCCTAACTTTTTACTATTACACCCAATAAGCATAAAATTCCTCTGTCCAATGGCTACTAAGTGCTCATCCTCCCATTTCTTTTTTTTTTTAAGACTTTATTTTTCCTTTTTCTCCCCAAAGCCCCCCGGTACATAGTTGTATATTTTTAGTTGTGGGTCCTTCTAGTTGTGGCATGTGGGACGCCACCTCAGCATGGCCTGACGAGCGGTGCCATGTCCGCGCCCAGGATCTGAACCGGCGAAACTCCAGGCCGCTGAAGCGGAGCGTGCGAACTTAACCACCCGGCCACAGGGCTGGCTCCACCCTCCCATTTCTGTCCTCATCTGGCATCTGGACAGCAAGAGGGCACCCACCAGCAGCACCCTCAAGAAAAGAGAGCTGTGCACCCGATCCTCATCCTCATCATCAAGTAACAACTTACCTCATAGACATCTGCACTGGATAACATACATGTAAATGGTCCGAGTGGCCAAAAGGACCAGGCCAGAGACCAGACCAACACAGCACTTCAGCCTATTGGTTCATTACAGGTCATCCTCCCCACAGATGAGGAGTGACATCCAAGCGCAGCCAAAGAGAGGAGAGTCACTACATCTGGTGCTCTGAGGGAGCTCAGTTAATTACTCCAAGGGAACCAGGAGGCTCCAACTCCAGTCCCTCTGTCTGACCTGTCCCCTTCCCCAGTGCCCTCCTCGACTGACCCCTTCCCTCCCGCAAAGCAGCAGGAGATGAATAAAGAACCAGAGAAGAATCCAATTAGAAGAGTGACTACACCAGGAAAAGATACTGCTCGGGACACAAAAAGAGCTGTAACAGCACCTGCTAAAATGCTGATTTTTCTTGGAGGAGAAGGCAAAAAAGGGGGAGAAAGAGGAATTTCCTCTCTTTAGACTTGACTTTTTGTATTTTCCCCAGTCTTAAACATGTTGTTTCTCTGCTGGAAAACCATTTTTACTTTAATGAAGGTAGGTGAGGGAGAGAAGACACAGACACCAACCCCACATAACCCCAAGACATTAGGACAACTCCTCAAGAGTCACTTAAAGTATCTCTGCAGCTTCAGGCCACACTAAAGGCTGGGACCCTCACAGGCAGAAGGACCAAGGCTGCCAATGACCAAACCAGACCCGATCTGCCCCACCAGGGCAGAGCACGGCATTCCACCAACGTGCCAGGCAGGCTGGTCAACCCTAGACCCCGCAGCCTGATTCCACTGTCTTAGTTCTTAAATGGGTAAGCAAAGTCTCAGAATACCCCCGTCTTTATTTCAGAGCATCATCATCAAGTAACAACTTATTTACTTAGAGAAGTAAAAAGCAATCTTGGTGGCTTAAAAATACTAAATATTTAAAAAATCAAACATATCCTCCTCCTCTCATTTAGAACAGACTGTAACTTAGAATTAGTTGGTCTCAGTTATCTTTTTTATCTGAAAACTTAATTTTTAAACCAAATTACAAAAGCACTTACAGTCCCTGTTTCTCCCCCTCCAGCCTTATAGCAGCTGACTCTTCTCTCTGCAGGTAATAAGGCAGATCCTCTTCTGCTGAGATCTCCAAAGAAACTGGGTGGATGGATCCCATATCCCTCTTCCAGCACCACAGGTCTGCTCCCAAGCTTGCCTCAGAACACTGTTGTAGCAGAAGCTCTCAACAGGTCCTGCACCAAAGGCCGCAGAGACTGCCCAGCTTCCCCCTGCACAAGGCATGCCTGGCTTCACCCCAATCTACATTCTGCAGGGGCCTCCTGCACACACCAAAGGTTAACACCACGGTCCTAAGAATGTGGCCGCCAGATCAGCCGCACCTCAGGCCACAGCTTCAGGATAAGAGCAGCTGCTGGCCAGCCTGGGCCTCCCTTCACCTCCAGCACCTACCCTGATGACCCATGGGGTAGTCCCACATAAGGTTACCAATGGACCAAGGGCAACTGGGAGATCTTCCTCAGGTGGTAAGGTAGCCCAAAACACCAGGGTCTCTCACAGACTCTAAGCAACGCAGAGGGCAAGGCCTGAGGCCTGGAACACTAATACAGACACATCTTTGTCTCTACTCCAAACTGAACTAACAGTTTATTCCTAAATTAAGAGAAGAAAAAAATAAACATGGGCCAGACTACATAGGACATGGTTTAGCTACATCACCTGCTTCGAAATATTTAGGTCCAAAGCACAAGTTTTGTTCTCGATCAGAACTGGTCATCTTAGACCCTCAAGTGCCTGAATTTTCAAATTTTTCAAAGGAGTGCTTTCCCCTGCAGCCCCACAGGACAGGCCCGGTGTTCAGCACCCCTCACCTGGAGCAGGTAATCACATGGTGCTGGACGCAGAGAAGGAAGCACTTTACTCGTTTTTCACTTTGTTAGATCATATTTTTTGGTTTTTTTACTTCATTTTCAGTAAAGCTGAAATTTTTAGGACTCTTGATACAAATCCTACACTTTTTGACTTACAGGTAGAAATCCAAGTCAAACTGTCTTTTAAAAGGTTGACTGATTTACAAAGAGACACCTTGGTTTTGACAGTGGTTTTCTGTGGTTGAGAGAGAATACGAGCACTTATTCACTGATTCCATAATGAGTATGTACTGCTCTGTAAAAAGAAAAAAGATTTCATTTCAAGGAAAAACGCCATACTCCTAATTCTTAATACAAGGTGTTTGCTCCTCTTAGGATAAAACCAATATTCTAAGCGGCAGATCCCATTACATCTTGGAAGGTAACTAGTGAGCTTAATGAAATTCATGACACGTGAAAATCAAACTATATCATTTAATTACAATGTGTTGGTAGGCATGAATTATTTTATATCACAGATATACAGAAAAATAATACAAGGAGCTAATATGCAGTATGTTGAAGATAACTTTTACTCTTTAATAACAAAAATATCCTAAAAGTTTGTCATTCATTTAATTTGAAGATGAATATAATTTTATGTATATGTGACTCACTTCCAAATAAAAAGACAGTCCAGGTAACAAGAGATATCACATAAACTGTTCTCTGGAGCAGACGTTCATTGGCATCCTTACTTCATCATCTGGATGCTTTACTTCCTTAACCAAACTGTTTTAAAGCCCCATGCCCTATTATAAACCGTGTTACTTCCTCAAAGCTCAAGGAAGTGTTCGAGTGGGGTTTCTGCTCTCCCAAACTCACACGGCACTCACAGGCTCTGGTGTGAAACTCACCAAGTCACTTACCTCGTATTCTGAAAAAGAGCATTTTTAAAGATAACAGAATAAAAAGACCAAGTCAGTAACAAGATGAGCAGGCAAAGAGGAGGAAACAAGTTCAGGGACAGGAGTGCACACAGGTGGATGGGGATCGGCCCCAGGACACCTTGCAAGAGCAAGACAGGGCTTGCCCGCAACAGGCACCAGCAGAGCCCCAACCCTCACCACTGTGGACTGCTCTAGGTTAGAGAGCCCTACACAGACCAGGCAATGTTCACACCATGAAGGAAACAGTCAGGAAAACCAGAAAGGCTATCACATGACAGGAAGGAGGCCAGCACCTCCCTCCACGAGGCTCTCGTCGGCTCCACTCTCATCTCCACTCCAGTGTCTGTCTTAGCCATGCTGCTTCACTTTCCAACAAATTCTCTTAAAAATCCTACAAGGTTCCCAAATTTTAGTGGGGGAGCAAGGCGAGGAATAGTATTTTATTGTGTCAAAGACGGTGACAACACGTGGAGTACCACGGGGTCCCAGACTCCGGTCCCTGCAGTCAGTGTAGCTGCAGTCAGCCTGACAGTGTCTGGCTTACCCCGTAGGCCTGTGTGCATTAAGGAATCTATACATTTTTCCAGGTCTCACAGATTCAAGTCTTTTGCAACATGCATGCTCCCACAACATAGCGAATGAACGTGACCAAGTTTTAGAGGACCTTTAGGGAGCTAGGTAAACAGCGCGATGATCCTCTAACACAGCCCTGCTGTGCCCTTCCCTGGTGTCCCTCATTCTAAGCTCACCCTCGACCATGCTTACACTTACCTCTGAGGGGGAATATACGGAGCGCACACAGGCGGCAGCACCGCACAGGGCTCGCTCATTGTCTTCTTCACTTTCTTTGCTTTCTTCCTGACCTTGGAAGCGGACCTGACCGTTTTGACTGAGCTCTCTTTTCGACAAACACCATTTTTCATTTCGACATCCCCATAAATGTTCAGAGGCCTCCGGGTGCAGCCCGGGGGTGTGTGGACATCACAGTAAGCGGTCTTTCTAACAGAGAAGGTCGTCGCACCGCCAGTCAGTTCTTTCACGGGCTCCATTTTCATGTAGAGGCCAGCCTTCTGGGCACATGTCACATGGAATGCTGTGTAGCAGTTTGCCTTGTGGCACTGGATGCAGGCACCCACACCCTTCTGCTTACAGAGGTAGCACGTCAGTTTCCACCGGGCTGGAGGGATGTTCCTCACGCCATCGATAGGCTCTATGAATACCGTGTTGGCAAAGCCGACCTCCGGGATCCACAGGGCACACACCACGTGGCCCCAGCGGTCGTCGTCTGTCTTTTTGAAGGCACCTCCCTTATTTGGGCACAGCACACAGTCGGCAGGCCGGGCCCGGGACTGCAGGCAGTGTCGGCAGAGCCACTGGCCCTCGGGGATGTAGGGCACCCCATAACACTCCTGGTGCACGGCCAGGTTGCACATGTCGCAAAACAGAATCACATTGCTGTTCTGGCACTCGCCGTCCATGCAGATGCAGCACACAGCATCCTCGTCGATTAGGGACTGCTGCTCCCCCTGCTTCTGGTTCTCACAGTACGACTCCTTCTCGAAGCGGTCCATCAGGAACTCAAACACACTCTGTGACACGGCTGAAACACAGTCGCCCTTCCGCTTCTCATTGACGATCTCCAGCCAAGCATAGTCCTCCTCATCCATGTCATACTCCACTTCGTTGTCCAACTCCTCAGCCGACTTCTCAATAAACTTGTAGTAGACAGGGGGTCTCCTGGGGGCAGAGGGAGGGCTGTACTCCACGATCCGCACCTTGGGCTCAGGAAGCGCACTGGCTGAGGCTGGCATACCGTGGGCACTGGGAAGGGCTTCATTTTTCTTTTTCACTCTGTTGTTTTTGTGACGCTTAGTTCTTAGGCACACAGGGGGCCTCTCACTATTTTCTTTATTGCTGTTGCATTCACTCATTTCTTGAGCAGTGAGGTCATCTTCTAATATGATCTCCAACGGATCAAAAATACTGATCCTATGCAAGCGACCCTCAATCTCTATCTCAACCATCCTCTGGGCTTGTGCGTAGGTCAGGGTCTCCCGCGTGGGGGAGTGTTTAGTACTGCACGGGGAGGAAGGGTGCCTTGCTGCAGCGCCTCGATGACATCGTCCTTTCCTCCTCATTTGGTACTGACTCCCTAAAACAGAGGCAGAGATAAAGTTAACTCCATACAGAGAACACAAGATGAGAAAACCATCAAGTATACTTGGGCAGAGCTAACTAAGCAACTCACGCTAAATCAAAACGAAACTCCAAGCTAACGTATCTGAGGTTTCCAAAATCACTCATCCCAGGACTCATGATCATATTTCAGCAACCTTCAACAGCCCATCCCCACCAGGCCACCCCTCCCCAGGGACTCCTAGGACCAGAGAGGGCAGGCGGTGAGGAGTGGCCCTTGAGAGGCATGCACAGCAAACAAGTTCCTCTAGGTCTCTCAGTGATTACCACTGCTCACCAGTCACGTTCTTACACAAAGCCAACAGGTCACCAAGACGACTGCAGCATCCCTCAGGAGTAGGGAAGCCCAGGGAAGCCCATGCACAGAGCTGGACTCCAGCAGGCACAGAGGCTGTGACGGCAAAGCAGGCATGCTCAGTGGCTCCCTGCTCCTGACCAACGCTGCCCCTGACCCGTTCTTCCCCTCCCCTGCTGCTGCCCTGGAAAGATCCCCCCGGAGCCCAGTGCACTGGTCCTGGCAGCAACCCTGCTGAGGGCCAAAAGCCTCAGCAGTCCAATCACGGCCAGTGGGTGCTCTCCATGAACACACCCTTCACACCTGTGTTAAGGCGGAGGCCCACTAGCCACACAAGGACCCAAGAGGGGAGCACGCAACCCAGCTTCCGCAGAGCCTCAGCAGTGACCACCACAGAAACCCCTTATGGGCCAGTCAGCCTGCCCCTTCCCCTCAGGGGCACTTCTCTCCTCTTGGCTTGACCACAGAGATGGGCCATGCCCTCCTCGTTCTCAAGTACACCCCAGAGACGCCCACAGACGGCACCTTGGCTCTTGTCCCACAGCAAGGGCCACGCTTGAGAACCCCACACTGCCTGCAGAGCCCCCGACTATGGGATCACCAGCACTAGCTCAGATGCCGGAAACCTTGGCCAGAGAGATCTAGGAGAATTCGCTCCCCTCTAACCTCCACTCTCTGCGCGCATGTCCCCGACACTCCACGGAGTCTACTTCCACAATTCGCCTCTCCTGAAGACTCCCGACTCTGGACCACCGCCTGCCAAGCAGGTGTCACCTTAGGAACTGACGGCGGAGACTTCCCAATACCTCTCAGACACCTCCCTCCAACCACCACCTTACTGACAGGAAGCAGAGCCATTTCCAAGAGATGGGCTCACAAACAAACGTCCCAAGCTGGAGCCCAGGGCCCGTGCAGCACGTGGCCCGCCGGTCAGGGCGCCCACGGGAGCCCGCAGCAGCTGCACCGAGGCCTAGTCCGTCTTCAGGAAAAGCCCTCAAAGAGCAGGCTTTGCTCTCCAAGTCCCTAAAGGCAATCCCCGCAAACCTTCACGGACTCTCTAAGACAAGGCCCTCAGGATGCGGTTTTCTTTCCTTCTGTTAAGTAGAAACCCACGTTTCATGTTGAAATTTGACAGGAATTCCCTACCCAGAGCAGCACAGGAACACGGCAGCCGAACCCCAACTCCCGGCCCAGCGGGGGCCCCGGCCTACCAGCCCTCTGAGGGGACCTGGGCGGCCCCAGGGTGTCGGCACCGGCGCCCGGGGAGGGGACCCGCGGCCAGCTTCACGCGTCACGACGGAGGCGGGGCAGCAACAGCGGGCTCCTCACCGACGGACACCAAACGTGTAATTTTCCCCCCTCCAGCCAGGCGCCAAGCAGCCCCTCGGAGGCCGCGCCCCGGGCGCTGGGGCTCCTCACCACCAGCCTCCCGAGGACGCCGCCGCCTGACACGACGGCGCGGTGGCTCCGCCACCCGAACGCGGCCGTGCGGGCGCGGCGGCCTCCGGCAGCACTGCCGAGCAGAGCGACCACCCGCCGCCCCACGGGCTCCGCACGCGGCCCCCCGGCTCCATCCCCGCTCGCGCCGCCGTGCAGGACAAGCGCGTCCACAGGGCGGGCATCACAAGGACAACAAGCCTGCTGGACGCACCCCGGAAAGCTGGGTGGCGCGAGGGGAGACTGCAGCGGGCGGCCGGCTCCCGGTCTCCACTCGCGCGGCGGGCCGCCGCCGCCCCACCTGCGCCCCTGCGCGCGCGCGGCACCGAGCCCCCCTCCCGGAGACCATGCTTTACCTGGAGACCGGGCCGGGGCGAACTCTGTGGGGCGGCGGGGATGCTTCCGACGGGGGCGGCCTCCTGGGCGCGTATACATTGGCCAGGACCCGACTGCGCGCTCGCGGGAGCGGTACTGTCCGCAAGTTACACCTCGGCAAAGTTGCTTCTCGCAGCCGGGCCCGGGGCAGCCGGGCGCAAGTCCACTTCGGGGGCTCACTGCAAACCCGCCCGGAAGCCGGCAGCGCGATCCCGCCGTCCCTGTCCCCAACCGCCGAGGGCGCGCGGGGCCGCCCGGGCTCGGTCGGGAGCGCTCCCGGCGCGGCCCCACTCGCGGGAGTTTCCTGTCGGGCCAAACCCCGAGCGTGTCTGTTACATAACGCGCCGCGCCGCCACAGGCAGCGCGTCCGGGGCCGCCGCGACCCCACGCGCAGGCCGGGCGGGGACGGCGCCAGACGAGCCCGGCCGCCCGACAGCCCGGCCTCCTCCGCTCCCCGGTCCCGCCTCCCGGCCTCCCCGCCCGGCCGCCCCGAACCCCGGCCTCCCGGCTTCCCCGTCCCGCCTCCCGACAGCCCGGCCGCCCTCGCGGCCCCACGCCCGCCCGGACTCCCCCGCCCGCCCGCCGACACCCGGCCTCCCTGCGCCGCTCGCCGCCCGCGGACAATGCGCCCGCCGCCGCGGCCGCCAAACATGGCGTCGGCACCACCACCCGAGAGGCCGGCGGGCGGCGGCGGGCGGCCCGCGAGGCGGCGGCGGCGGCGGCGACCCCGGCCCGGCCCCCGCCCACTCACCTTCGGGGCCGCGGCCGCGGGAGCCCGGCGGGCGGGCGCGGGGGCCGGCGCGGCCGAGGCGGCGCTAATGGCGCCCAGGCTCCTCCGCCAACGGCCGCGCAGGCCCGGCCCGCCGCTCGGGCGCGGGCTCCTGTCGGCGGCGGCCCGGCCCGGCTCGGCGGCCGCGGGCTCTCGGGCGGCGACTCGCGCAGCGGGCGGCGGGCGAGCGGGCGGCGGGCGGCGGGGCCCAGCGGGGAGGCCCGGCGCGGAGCCGGCCGGCGGGCGGCGGAGCGAGCGCGGGGCGCGGAGCGCGGGGCGCGGGGCTGGCGCGGACGCCCGGGCCGGCTCGCTCGCTCGCTCCCCAGCGAAGCAAACAATGCGGCGAGCGCTCCGCCCGGCGCGCTGCGTGCGAGACGCGCCCCGCCCGCCGCCGCCATGACGCGCGGGCCGCCGCCGGCCGGGGGGAGGGGGCCTGAGGGGCGAGCGGGCCGGGGGCCGAGGGGGTCTGAGGGGCAGACCGGACCCCGGGGCCGAGGGGCCGAGCGGGCCTGAGGGCGAGCGGGCCGGGGGCCGAGGCGCCTGAGGGGCGAGCGGGCCGGGGGCCGAGGGCACCTGAGGGGCGAGCGGGCTTGAGGGGACGAGGGGGCCTGAGGGGGCCTGAGGGGCAGACCGGACCCCGGGGCCGAGGGGCCCTGAGGGGCGAGCGGGCTTGAGGGGCCGAGGGGCCCTGAGGGGCGAGCGGGCTTGAGGGGCCGAGGGGGCCTGAGGGGCAGACCGGACCCCGGGGCCGAGGGGGCCTGAGGGGCGAGCGGGCCGGGGCCGAGGGCGCCTGAGGGGCGAGCGGGCTTGAGGGGACGACGGGGCCTGAGGGGCAGACCGGACCCTGGGGCCGAGGGGGCCTGAGGGGCGAGCGGGCTTGAGGGCCGAGGGCGCCTGAGGGGCGAGCGGGCCGGGGCCGAGGGCGCCTGAGGGGCGAGCGGGCTTGAGGGGCCGAGGGGGCCTGAGGGGCAGACCGGACCCCGGGGCCGAGGGGGCCTGAGGGGCGAGCGGGCTTGAGGGGACGACGGGGCCTGAGGGGCAGACCGGACCCTGGGGCCGAGGGCGCCTGAGGGGCGAGCGGGCCGGGGGCCGAGGGCACCTGAGGGGCGAGCGGGCTTGAGGGGCCGAGGGGGCCTGAGGGGCAGACCGGACCCCGGGGCCGAGGGGGCCTGAGGGGCGAGCGGGCCGGGGGCCGAGGGCGCCTGAGGGGCGAGTGGGCCGGGGGGCCGAGGGGGCCTGAGGGGCGAGCGGGCCGGGGGCCGAGGGGGCCTGAGGGGCGAGCGGGCCGGGGGGCCGAAGGGGCCTGAGGAAAAGACCGACTCAGGGACCCAGGGGGCCTGAGGGAGCGTCGGGCAGGGGAACAGGAGAACCTGAGGGGTGGACCAGACCCTGCGGCTGGGGTCCTGAAGGGAGGCTTGGATTCAGGGGATGGGAGGTGACCCGACTAAGTGGGAGCGACCTGAGGGGGCACTGGATTTATGGGGGGTGCTGATGGGATCCCTGACAGGGGGGGCCAGACAGGGGTGGGCAGGCTGAGTGGACATCAGACCTGAGGGGGTGCAGGGCAGAAGGTGTGCCGGTTGGGAGGCCGGCAGGGAGGGCACATAATGCACGGGGGGCTGGAGAGAAGTAGGGGAACACTGGACAGGGGCGGGCCAGGCGGCATTCGGGGAGCGCTGGGCTAGGGGGAAAGGGAACCCCCAGAGATGGAGTGAGGAGAACCAGAGGGGGACAGGCTGGGCCAGTCAGGAGGTTGGGGGGAGCCTGACGGGTGGGGACTGAGAGGGGACCTGAGGGGAGGTCAGGAGGGGGGTCACTGGACAGGGCTGGTGGTGGAGAGGAAGGGGGCACTGGCAGGGGATGCGGCCGTGGCAGAGGGCACTGGGGAGCGTGTAGCCTGGAGGAGGCGCCCAGCGTGTGTGGGGCTGGGAGGGGGCACGGAGGGGAGAAGAAGGGGCCCCTGGGCCTGGTTCAGGGACCTGAGTCCCACTCTCCCACTAGCTGCTTTCACTTTGGCCTTTGTTTAAACTCAAATTCAGTCATTTCATGACACTCTCATTCATACATTAAATCCCAAAATGTTTTAAGGGAGAAGCCTAGATGGTTCCTTGGTTTCTTTCGAGGATTTGTGCTTAGTGCGGTGGCCATGAAGGAGCCCCAACTGTGTGGGGAGCCCAGCCCCAAGGGAAAGGAGGTGGCAGGTGGCCCCCCGCTGTGGCAGCAGGGGAAGCCCCTCAGGAAGAGGAGGGGCACCCCCAGGGCAGAGGCTGAGTCTTTCTGAGCCAGGAGACCTTCCCCCACAGGGGCAGGCGGGGCAGGGTCCACTGCCTAGGACCCTCCACCAACCGCCTCACTGGGAGTGGGCTGGCCCTGTCCACCCAAGTGTCCTAGGTAGGGGCTGGAGCCCCAGGCCTTTTGCTGACCAGTACTTGTCCCCCTCTGCACCCAGTATACGGGTTGGGAAGTGAAGGCTTGGAGAGCAGGTTAGGACTGCAGCCAAGGTCACCCAGTGTTCCGTCCTGAGCAAGGTCCCACCTCGAAGCTACTGCCCCCTCCAGACACATTCTTGGGCCAAGGAGGGGCGCCCCGACCACATCTGCACCAGTCCCAGGGGCTGCAAGTGTCTCCTCCACTCCTGTCTGCTTAACCGAGTCCACATGTGCTGAGCGGCCGGCAGTAGAGGGCAAGAGAGCGGGCCCGCACCTTTCTCGCCAGCACCCTGGGCAAACCAGATGCAAACCAGTGAGCTGGAGGATCTCCTACAACGCAGAGCAAAGGTGAGAGACAGCCTCGTGGAAGAGAAGGTGGAAGACATGAAACCCTTCGCAGAAAAGGAGAGTGGCTTCTCAAAGGATGGAAGTGATGCCCAGGAGGGGTGAGGGGAAAAGACCCACACACGCAGTCAGAGAGACACTGGAATTCCGAGGATAAAGAGACTAGCTCAAAGCCTGCAGAGGGGAAGGATCTTTAACCAGACTGAACCTGAGTGTCACTTGGCAAAGGAGTGGTTGTCAAAACTCTAAAAGGGCTGAACCTAGAATTCCATACACAGTGAAACTAGCATTGGAGTGAGGCAGCAAAATAAAGTATCTTCACAGCCTAGAAACATCCAAGTTTACCACAGACACAGTCTCTAAAAAGTTAACAAAAGGGGACCTGTGGTATAGTAAGTAAATTCGGCACGCTCCACTTCAGCGGCCTGGGGTTCACAGGTTTGGATCCCGGGTGCGGACCTACACCACACAGCCATGCTGTGGCAGCAACCCACATACAAAATAGAGGAAGACTGGCACAGATGTTAGCTCAGGGCTAATCTTCCTCAGCAAAAAAAGAGGAAGATTGGCAAGAGATGTTAGCTCTGGGTGAATCTCCCTCAACAACAACAACAAAGTTACTAAGAGATATACCCTAGCAAAATGAAAAGTGAATTCAAGAGTGAGACATGAGTGCCAGCAAAGAAACCAGTTTGGACTGTTAAAATCAAATAATAACCTGAGAGAAAATCCCAGGTAAACTCAACATGGCACATGGCAAGGGGAGGGGGAAGCAGGAAGTAAAAGCACGCAAAAGTTGTATTGCTAGAGGATTTAGAATCAATAGAAAAAAATTTAAAATGTTAAAATATCAAAGTTTCCACTAGAAAAATGGAAATGGAATTTACAACTTTGAAAACAGCTGGGGAAAACTGAAAGGAAGAAAAACTGACAGTGCCAACAAAAAGCAGGAAAGAGAAAAAGATAAATGCATGATAAATAAGGAACATAGTAAGAGGCAACAGGAATAATTCAAATGTTTGAGTAATCAGAGACATGATTGAATTAAATTCATCTATTAAAAAACAGAGACTCTGAGATTGGAATATAAATATCAAATACTGCTTACAAGAAATACACCTAAAAATGTCAGAGATTGAAAATAAAAAGAATAGAAAATATGTATCATAGAATTTTTGTTCCTCAAAAGACCATAAGGAGAATAAAGAACAAAAAGTGAAAACCAGAAGATATTTGCAACACATATACCTTGCAAATGATTAGTCTCCAGAATATATAAAGAACCCTTTCAAATCCATTAGAAAAAGACAAGCCAACAGAATGACAGGCAAAACCCATAATTAGGCTCCTTGCAAAGAAGAACATGGAAAGGGTCAATAACCTCACTAGTAATTGGAAATGCAAACTAAAACCACACCAAATAAGCACAAATGTTGAAGTCTGACAAAACACAGTGATGGCAAGAAGGTGGGTCAACGGAAACACTCATACACTGTTGCCCAGGATGTCAAGTGGTACCATTATCTTGGTAAATAAGATGGCATCACCCAATGAAGCTGGACATGTGTGTGTATGGCTGCACAACAAACCACCCCCGAAACTTCGTAGCTCAAAACAACAATCATTCCTCCTGCTCGCAGATCTGCTGTTTGGGGTGGATTCGGTAGACATAGTTGGTCTAGTCCATGCTGCACCAGCTGGGGCATCTCCACTGGAGGCTGGAAAGGCTGTTCCAAGACAGTGCAGTCATGTGGCTGGTAAGCTGGTTCAGGCTGTGGGCTGAGGGCTTTGGGGACTTCTTTGTGGGATGGTGGCCAGCTTCCAAGAGCAAGAGTCCCAAGAGAACTAGGAGGGACCTGTATCGCTTTTCATATCGTAGCCTCAGAAGTCACACAGCATCTACACAAGCCTGTCCAGATTCCAGAGATGGGTGGACATCGACCCCTACTTCCTGTGGAGAGAAGTTTCAAAGTCACATTTTAAGAGAAGCATGTGGTACAGGAGAAGTTGTTGTAGCCACGTTGGGAAAATGCAAGCTGCCATAATGTGCATACCCACTACCAGCTCTAGGCAAGCCAGTATATATTCCTAGGTACATTCCATGCCTAGCTGTATGCCAGAGAAACCTACACTTGTTCTTCAGGCAACATGTTCGTGAATGTTCAAAGCAGCACTGTTTTTAATAGAAAAAATACTGGGGAAAAATCTTACCTGTCCATGGACAATAAAATGAATAAAGTGAGATACGTCTGCACAATGGAATAGCACACAGCTACTAAAACAAATGAATTGCACCACTTAGCCACATGGCTGAATCTCAGACACATAATGCTGAATGGGAGAAACAAATCACAGAAGGTTGTTAATATAAAGTGGATTCCATTTACACTCAGCAGAGAGAGCTAGGAAAAATATGTCTAAGTATGTACACACACCCCTATATTTTTTCAATATCTATTAGCAAACCTTGAGTTCATACTGATAGCTCCAATTCCAATCCAACAGAGTTCATTCTATCCTTTCCACTTTCGATATAACTCTTTTTCAACAATGAGTTTGAGCAAACCTCTATGCATTCACCTCATCGTAGCTCAGTCCTCACTGTGTGTCAGGCCTATACCAGCCAGAAACTTGGCCCCAGACACATCAACCACTGCCCCTTCCATTAGATGTACCAGCCAAAAGCTCAGCTCTAGAAACATCACTGCCCCCTCCCACTCCACACCTCCACCTCCACACCATTAGATCTGTGGCTGAAGTCTCGACCCAACAAAGGGCAAGGATAAGGGTACTAGTGTTATTTTTTTAATGTTCTATTGCAGAAGATAGAAGAAGTCTGGCAGAAGTAAGATAAAATCCTTCATCTGGGGCTGCCCAGTGGCTTAATGGTTAAGTTCACATGCTCTGCTCTGGCAGCCTGCGGTTTGCTGTTTTGGATCCCAGGTGTGGACCTACACACCGCTCATCAAGCCATGCCATCGCGGCATTCCATATACAAAGTAGAGGAAGATTGGGAACAGATGTTAGCTCAGGGCCAATCTTCCTCACCAAAAAAAAAATCCTTTTTCCTTCTTGATCTATCTCCAACCTTTAATTTTCACAAACAAAACATTCTTCAAATGATATTTTCTCACTTCATAATTCAGAAAAAGTAGTTTTACTGACTCTTCTCTTTTAACAGAAATCTAGTTATTTGCATAGTTTCAATAGAAATCAGTCTTCCTTTTTACCAGGATATAATTAGACAAATTGATTGTGCAACCAAGGCTTTATGTGGGTGTCATATTTGAGATTACATCTCATGTGATTCAATATGACCCACCTACCTTAGAAAAAGGCTTGTGACAGCTGTGTTGAACCAATGCCCACACAGCCCTCAAACCGATACTGGTCAGGTACCTGTACTATGGCATACCAGGGCTCTGTCTTACAAGTAGTAAGGAAAACAAGAACTGTGGCAGACACCACAGACCTTGAGAAGATAGAAACTTCCCTACATGCACAGGTACTGCAGGCAAACCAGAGGAAGATTAGTTTGATTTGGTTTCCTAACCCAGGACTAGAAGAGCAAATAAGAGAAATTTAAATCTCAGGCATAATAGAGGCTCATGCCTACATTCCTTATGATGACATCTCTAGACAGAAGTTGATTTTCCGGACTTGGTTGTTGGGTAATGCCATATGGCTTAGACGTGCTGGCCCAACAAGGAGGCCTGTACATGTTAATTACCACTTCTTACAGCACCTGTGTAGATGAATCAGGTCCAAACACAATAAGACCAGCTTTCTGTGGTCAAGAATAACCTTTGGAGACTATTTCTCCTCATAAGGGGGCGGGGGGGGGGGGGGCGCGGCGGCAGGAGACTAATAAAAATTTTCCAAAACTTATGAATAGGCAAAAGGATGGTGGTGGGTCCTTTCCATGGGAAGCCAAGTGTTGTCTAGCACACCTGCCAAGAGATTTGGAATTTTCTTGGGTGTAAAACTATTTAACTTGCTATTTACTATTGATTATGATTTTTTGGCCAGCCCCGGTGGTCCAGTGGTTTAGATTTGGTGCCCTCAAGCCAGCCCTGATGGTCTAGTGGTTAAAGATTGGCGCTCTCACTGCTTCAACGGCCCGAGTTTGTTTCCTAGTTGCAGAGCCACACCACCTGTCTGTCAGTTGCCATGCTGTGGTGGTGGTTCACATAGAAGGACTTACAACCAGGATATATAACCATGCACTGGGGCTTTGGGGAGAAAAAAAAAAAGGAAGATTGGCAACAGATGTTAGCTCAGGGTGAATCTTTCCCTGCAAAAAAAAAAAAGAGGGATTTGGTACTCTCACTGCCCTGGCCCAGATTTATTTCCAGGTCAGGTAACCATACCACCCATCTGTTGGTTGTCATACTGTGGTGGCTTTGTGTTGCTGTGATGCTGAAAGCCATGCCACCGGGATTTCAAATACCAGCAGGGTCATCCATGGTAGACAGGTTTCAGTGGAGCTTCCAGACTAAGACAGACTAAGAATAAGGACCTGGCCACTTATTTCCCAAAAAATTTGCCATGAAAACTCTAGGAGGGGCCAGCCCGGTGGCACAGCGGTTAAGTTCGCATGTTCCACTTCGGTGGCCCGGGGTTCGCTGGTTCGGATCCCGGGTGTGGACATGACACGCCTTGGCAAGCCATGCTGTGGTAGGCATCCCACATATAAAGTGGAGGAAGAGAGGCGTGGATGTTAGCTCAGGGCCAATCTTCCTCAGCAAAAAGAGGAGGATTGGCAGCAGATGTTAGCTCAGGGTTAATCGTCCTAAAAAAAAAAAAAAAAAAACCTCTAGGAATGGTGCAAAAAGACTAGGCAGGCTTCTGCTCTGCTGTACACAGGGTCACTAGGAGTCGGAATCCACCTGACAACAGTAACAACAACAATGATTTTTTTACAACTCAGTAAAAGTAGACTTTAACTTGTAGAAAATGGATGACTAGGTAAAATGATTCTTGTCTGACAGCAATGCAAATGTATTTTGCCCAGTAGTAAGTTATAAAAATTATTTCTGTCTAGTAGAAAAGATTACAGTTAGAAAAGGTTGCAGTTTTATGGCCCTGTAGAACATTAACCAGTTTTCAATCTAAATTAGCAAGCTTTTCTCCAGCCACTTCAAATACTTCCCTCTCTCTCCAATCTTTCGAACCACCCTCACCATCATGCCAGTTTCCTCATTAATGATTTAAATAAATCTTTGACACATCTTCATTTTAGAGCTGTATTTATGTAGAGTCATATTTTTAAGTTTTTGAAAATTATGCTTTGACAGCTCCTATATCTAGCTACCTCCTCAGTATCTCCTCTGAAATGTCTAATAGGCACCTCAAACTTAACACAACTGATACTCAGCTTCTGGCCTTCATCTCCAACTGATCCATCAGCAAATCCTGTTGGTCCCCCTTCAAAATGTGTCCAGACCCAGCCCGTGTCACCACCTCTGTTACTACCCAGGGCCAGTCACTGTCATCTCTCATCTGGATTATCTCAGTATCCTAACTGGTCTCTCTGATTCACCCTTGTACCTCTGTATTTTGTTCTCTACCCAGCAGCCCAACTGATACTGCCACACTCGTGCTTAGAACCTCCCAGTGGGTTCCCATCTCTCAGAATAAAATCCAAAGGCCTCAACTCAACAACCAAAAAATAACCAAATAAAAAATGGGCAATGGACTTGAATAGACACTTCTCCAAAGATGATGTACAAATAGTCAGTGAGCACATGAAAAGATGCTCAACATCATTAGCCATCAGGGAAATGCTAATCAAAACCACAATGAGATACCACTTAATACCTACTAGGATGGCTAGAATCAAAAAGTCAGATAGTAACAAGTGTTGGTGAAGATGTGGAGAAATTGAAACTCTCTTGCATTGCTGGTGGGAATGTAAAATGGTGCAGCTGCTTTGGAAAACAGTTGGGCAGTTCAAAATGTTAAACATAGGGTTACCATATGACCCTAGATTTCTACTCCTAGGTATATACCCAAGAGAAATGAAAATACATGTCCACACAGAAACTTGTACATGAAGATTCATAGCAGTATTATTCATAATAGCCAAAACGTTAAAACAAACCAAATGTCCATCAACTAATGAATGGATAAATAAAATGTGGTATATCCACAAATGGAATATTATGTGGTGATATAAAGGAATGAAGTATTAAAATGTGCTACAACATGGATAAATCTTGAAAATAATATGCAAAGTGAAAGAAGACAAACGCCACATATTGTATGATTCCATTCATATGAAACACCCATGATAGGCAAATCTATAGAGAAACAGAGCAGGTTAGTGGTTGCCAGAGGCTGGGGAGGAGGAAATGGAAAGTGACTGCAAATGGGTATGGGGTTTCTTTGGGGATGATGAAAATGTTCTAAAATTGACTGTGAGAAGGATTGTACAATCCCATGCATATACTAAAAACCACTGAATTATACATTTTAAGTGAGTGAATTGTATGGTATATGAATTATATCTCAATGGAGCTGTTTTAAAAATACATTGAATAAAAAATTACATCAATAAAAATAAAAAATAACACCAGAGACTTCTAGTTCAGGAATAAATGGGCTAGACTCATCTCTCCCTGCTTCTCCAACTAACTATAACTTTAAAAACTGGGAAATAATAGCGCAGACAATTATGGGACTCTGGTGGGAAAAGAAAAGTAGGCTAGCTGGGGACCTAGGACTGAGGAAAAACACAGCAACCTGGCATCTCTCATCCTCCACCCAGCAGTAGAAGGCAGCCCAGGCCCAGTATATCCCCACCCTCCCACTGAGCAGCTGTGGGAAGGCTAACCATCCTCCCATGGGGGAATTGGCAGAGATTGAGCAGGAACCCTGATGGCACCAGATCTCTGGAAGCATTCTCCTTCCGATGGGTCCAACCTCACTCACTCCCCACCTACTGGCTCT